CGAGGAATTCGCGAGATGTCGGAATTTGGATTCGAGAAATTACGAGAAACTTCCTTGTTACGTCTCGCGCCCTCGAATATTCATGAGCGAGCTTGTTTCATGAACCGGAAGCCGGAATCTCCAGGGATTCCGCGGCGCCAGAATTCGCGAGGCAGCGAACTCGGGCGCGCCGCGCGGCGTTCCGTCGTGCTTCCCGTCACTGTAAAAAAGTTTACTGTATATTACTTATACATACACGTAGACGTATACATACGCAGAAACTCTAAAGAAAGGTATACTTGTGTTTTCCTCCGAGAAAGGATCGGGCGAAAAGATTGTATCTTTATACGTAACAATTAATAATCTTCGTGCTCGCGCGTACGTCACATGGTAAGATTTAGCTAATTGTAAATAATTGCGGAAAGACTCTTATTTTTTTTCGGCATTTCTATTTGTGGCACAAAAACGTGAGATTACAATATTTTTGCAATACTTTATATAATTTAATATTCTTATATGAATTAAAATTTTATATACTTTTACAGTATTTTTTTCGCAGATTCTTCGATGAGCTTAAAGTACATCGAAAATTTTATGATGCGTTTAGTCGCAAAATAATTTGATATCAAAATTTTATTTTATTGTAATTAATATATAAAATATATTAAATAATTAAACATATATTTTCCAGAGATTTTGAAAAATATTTTAATTTAATAAAATTTTTGTGTTTTATATTAAATTAATGAAATATTCTTGAGTTATTGTCAAAATATTTGTAATAATGAAACAACATCAAATTATGATATGAAAGATTCAAATATTTACGAATCTTATTCAAAATAGAAAGTAAAGAAAATATAAATTCAAATTATATTTAACGAAAATCTGAAATCCACGTGACAACGCGTGTGCATTGCGATATCTCATTTCTCTTCTTCAAAAAAAAAATATCTGACTATATTGTGTACACAATGAACATACATCTGCCAATGATCTGTATATGAACGAGAGAAAAGAAGAGAGAAAAAGAGAGAGAGAGAGAGAGAGAGAGAGAGAGAAAGAAAG